TAGCAATAAAACAGGCAATAAAAATTTATATAGTGCAATTTACAATGCAGTGTCACTGAATGGTTTTAACTTATTAGAAAAATGAATAAAATGTTAATAAGTAGTTCGAAGAAGGAGAGTTTTGAACGACTTAATACTTTTAAGAGTGATGTTCACGAATAAGTGTAACATAAAATTTAATTTAATTGTTCAGGACCCAAATCTTATACTTCATCTGGTATCTACAATATCTACTATGTTTGTGCTTTCTTTATGGTCTTTCTTTGCTAGTGTGTTGTAAAATAATATGACACCAACTGTAAAATGCTTTTATGAAGAATAACAAAATCTTTTATTTTATCCTTTTTGTAAAACTACTTTTGTAAAACAGGAGCATGGGAATTCATATGTATTTTTTAATTATACATCATAAAATTCAAATTGTTATTATAATAAAAAAATTTATATATATATAATTTAACTTATAATAAAATTATATTATATAATTAAAACGTAAAAATTAAAAAATAAAAATATACAGCAAAAAGTATAATTAATATAAAAGAAATCTTATTTGATATACAGTTTTATAAATTAGAAATTTCTGTTAGATCCGTTTGACATTTACTTTAAAATAGAATATTCTAAAAATAAATGGTGAAATTCTTAAAATGTGCGATGTTTTCTGTGAAAAGAAAAGAATACCATAATTATTGAGAGTATACAAAATAATTTATTCACTGTGATGTTTTCAGACATGCGGGGTATACATTAAAGTAAATCCAACAAATAAGTACATATATAACTCTGTATATAGAATTGTAGGGAGCAATCATACACGACATTCCTCTGCGACATTTATACGCTTAGACGTTTCGAATCTATGAATGGCACCTATTCATTCCGTTTAAACGTTCTTATCCTACGATAACAGTTGATGCAGCAGCAACACATGCTTGTTACTACGCACCTTTCGTAAATAAAATCATCTCTTTTCTTGTGTCAATTTTTTTACAGAAGCGAATCATCTTTAATACTTTTTTTTATAAAAATAATTTTTATAATTTTTTATAATAATAATAGGAAAATAGAATGCATTATAAATCATGCCCTTTGGAGAATAATTGACGAAATCAAAAATAAGTCAAAAATAAAGAATGACAACATTGTGTTTGATATATGAGTAATTCTCAGCTTTAATTTTTTATAATATGATTAAAAAGTAAGATATAAGAAAGCATTTTATAGGGGATGAACAATACATTCATAATATTTGATGACTTTCCTTTCACGTGTTAATCTGTTTTTACAAACAAAATCTCAAATATCACAAAAAAGCCATTTTTTGTATATTAAACCTCAATTATTTTGGAAACCTGACGTGCTAGTGAAATTTGGCTTGCATTGTTTTCAGTCCTCAAAATCAATGAGAAACACTTTGTCTGGTTTAAAGTAATTTTTGGCTCCAGTGTAATCCACGTTTTTTATCGCATTGATTTTGCGGCGTTCAATAATAAACGCTTATAGCGGAGCTAAAGAAATCACTGTTGGGTTCCCTCGGAAATTGTGCATCGCGCATGAAATCATCACATGCAATCACGCGTGACGTGGGTACCGCATTTAAAAGCGATCGGATCGGCTGCGCGATATCCTGACCGTTTGTTTTTAAGGTTACGACAGCTCTTCGAATTAGGTCAAAAGGCAGAGCTTGCGAACTGTCGACATGATGCTTGAAACACATCCGAATATTGCGAATATTTCTTCGCGTTTTGAGTGCCACTTCTGATAGGTATTCTCTATCCATGCAGGCGTTCTTCGGCTCTGTTCGAGAGAAAAAATGTTTTCTCGGCTGTGAAAAAAAATTAAATTATCTTTATCGCATTTTATTCCCCTCTTCATTTAAGATAAGAAAAATTATATAATGGTATTGGAAATATTGCTTATTGAACTGCTATTAAATTTTGATGTACACTATAAATTCTAAACTTTCGTCATATAACCTTCAATATGTCAGGACCACATATATCCAAAATGGCGGGAAAAATTAATTGATTTTAAATATATTTTATTTTTTGCATACGTATATTCCTGATGCGTTGTAAAAAATAAAGAGAGATTACGAAATATGAAAAATATAAACATATATAATATATTATTTAGTAATATTTATCTACGATCGTGATATATATAATATGTATAATGTGTAGCTATCACGCGATATATGTGTATATATACATACATATATATATATTTATAACTCTTCGAATTAATGATAACTCTACCAGATGTCTGTCTATTAAAATTTTCATTTTTATCACTTTTAAGTATATGATTCTTACGAAACTAATAAGGACGGACACGGTGAAACAAGTTTGGAGAGAGCGGGTTTTATTTTATCCCTTCGAAAACACGTCGCGCCTGCGGATACTAAATGTATACTGGGGTCAAGTGCTGTAGAAATAATTTCGATCGAAGAGCTCGCGTATCGCATGAAAATAAATGGCGCTCGCGATATTTCGCGATTGTGCTCTTAATTAACAGAAATAGGTGGAACTTTTTATTAGCCACTCTTTTTTTAGCCTGCTCTTGTGTCATGGTTTTCGAAATAGTTTACAAATTTTCATGCTCGTGCTGAACAATTTATAATAAGAGCGCTGTATCATTACACTAGTTTACAGCCAATCATTATTTTAAATAAAAATGTTCCTTATAGATTTTTGGGTGCTGAAATAAATGATGCCGTAAATCAAATTTTACAAGCACGTCAGATTTCCAAAATAATTGAGGTTTAATGTATAAAAATGGCTATTTTTGCGATATTTGAAATTTTGTGTAAAAAAGGTTAACGTTATCGGAAAAGATCTGATCAAATATCATAAATGAATATTCTTTATCCCTTACATAAAAGGGATATGCATTATGGAAGTATACATTGTTTTTTATTTCAATTTTATTTTTTAGCCATATGTTATGATGAAAGATTAAGTTGTGAAATTATATGTATTTCTCATATGGAGATACTTTTAGAAGGAAAAAAGATTTTTGGAAAAGAATCATTTTTTTCCAAAATTGATTTTACTTTTATTTGTTCCTCTTTAGATCATACAGCTTTTGTCTGGGATATTTTTTCGAAAATGCACTTGTTCGAAAAATTCAAGTAATTAAAACGAAACATCCCCTATATACATTTAATGGAATCTATCACAATAAGTTACATTGTATGTGTATCGATAGCCTAAACTACAAATTATGAATATAATTATGACTTCATCGTCAAAAGTGGAATATTAGCTATCTCAACAAAACTCTGTACTTAAATCTTCCCTAACATGACTAAAAAGTAAGATACCGAAATTTAAAAAATGCATTTTATAGAGATGATGAACAATACATTCATGACATCTAATCAGAATTTCTAGATAATGTTAACTTTTTTCACAAAAAGAACTCCGCTTCAAATACATAGGATTTTAGTTTTTTATAGAATTTGCTGCATTTTTCCTAGTTATAACTTATGACTTGCTGAATAAAAGATGTCTTAAGAACAAAATATATTCTTAAAGCTAAATATTGGATGGCTACTGAGTAACAGCTAGTCAAATAATTGGCAGAGTCCGAGTTTTTTGAGTTTGACTGTAAACCAGTAACTGTCTATTATTTAGTTTTGAGACTGTTACATTTTTTGTTCAACAGATCATAAGTTACAACATATGAGAAAACCAGTTAATTTTATTGGGATTTAATTTTATCTAGGATTTTATATATCAAAAATGCCACATTCTGCATAAAATTGTATCTTGGTAAGATCAGCTGGTTTTCTCATATGTTGTGTAGTTTATGAAAAAAGCAGTCAATTCCATCCAAAGTCAAAATTCTATGTATTTGGTGCAGGATCCTTTCAAATATTGCAAAAAATGTAATTTTTGCATATTAAATCTCAATTATTTATAAAACCTGACATGCTGATAAAAATTGGCTTACGCTATCGTTTCAGCATACAAAAATCTATAAGAAACACTCAGTCTGGTTTAAAATATTTAAAAAAAATTTTTTGTAAACTGTTAACTGTTACAGATGAGATGAGGTATAAAACAGGCGACGCGACATAAAGCGCATGAGAGCGGACGTTTAATTTGAAACATACAGCGAGTAAAGAAGAACGGAATGTTAAGAATCTTAAACGTTTAATGAAACATAATCGGTTAATAGGTCTCGCACATTCAGCCAAAGCCGAGTATCCATGTGCATACGCGGCGTCTCTCGTGCATTCCGCTTCGCTCCCGGATATTTTTATCGTTCCTATAAAACTCTATATGCATTCTGTCCAGACTTTTCTCGTTGCACGTGGCTTTGATCGCTGTGATGAAAAAGAGAATAATTCCAAATTCCATATTGGATCTTTTATGTATTTTAAATATTTTATTTTAATTTATATATGTAATGTTACTATACTACAATTTTGTGTTTTAATTGGTGTATGTAAATACCAATTAAAACACAAAATTGTAGTATAGTAACATTACATATATAAATTAAAATATATATATATATATATAAGATATACATGGTCTATTATAAAAGTAATGTGCATTTTCTAAGAAAAATATATTTATTGATCGTACCGGTGTAAATGCTTAAAATTCTTCAAAATACTCTCCCCCAGCATCAATACACTTGCGGAGACGTGTCTGCCATGCCTGGAAGGTACCCTGAAACTCCTCGACGGGAATGTCTCTTATAGGAACGTTGTAACATGCTTTTGGATGTTTTACACGGACTCCCAATGCTTTCCTTTCAGCTCTTTCTTCAGTCGGGGAAACAAAAAAAAGTCGCACGGAGCCAAGTCGGGACTGTAAGGAGGCTGGGGGATCACCGGAGTGTTGCTCCGAGCCAGGAAATTGGTAACGATGAAGGTCGTGTGGCATTGGGAGTCCGTGGAAAACATCCAAAAGCATGTTACAACGTTCCTAAGAGACATTCCCGTCGAGGAGTTTCAGAGTGCCTTCCAGGCATGGTAGACACGTCTCCGCAAGTGTATTGATGCTGGGGGAGCGTATTTTGAAGAATTTTAAGCATTTGTACCGGTACGATCAATAAATATATTTTTCTTAGAAAATGCGCATTACTTTTATAATGAACCATGTATATATATATTAAAGTAAAACACCAAAATAGCAAAACGGGGAGTTTTTATATTTCCATTTTATATTTGGAAAACTGCCTTTTTTAGAGATAGGCTGCCCAGATAGCACTATGTTCAAAATTGGTGCATAAAACATTATTAAGAAATCTTCAAGAAATCTTATGATGTGATATTCCAAAGACACCTTAAAAACATCTTAAAGATGTTTTGTGCAACAATTTTGGAGATGGTGCTGTCTAGGTTATAAATTTGAATTAGAAAGATCATTTTTTTAGCTCTCAACGTGATTCAAACGATTTCTCGCGCGTTTGGTTTGCAGTGTAGAATGATAAATGGTGGCCACCAGCAGCATGGTATATGAGGAGATAGTTGGTATACGGGGCAGCTGACCCCAGCCGCCGCGCACGCTTTTCACGCGCGAGATGCCCCACAATCTAAACTCAGTTTCCGCCAATTCCGCCAACACAGGACCGAATCATCAAGCCTATCCTCAGCAGCCGCACCATCGAGAGAATACAGATGGACTCCAACCCGAGGTAATGTAAAAAAATTGTGTAAGGGATGCTGGAGTGACTTGAAAAGTCAGTTGTTTTTTTCCTTTCTTATCGACAAAATATGAGGTTAAATAAACTATAAATCTATTTATTGGCTATATGGATTGTTTTTTACCTGAAATTAGAACGCTTCCTCCTTTGTTAATATTAATACTTTAATTTGTACAGGAAAAAGATTTATCAATCTGTATAGCTTCATATACATCTTGGTTACAGAATTATGAATTCTAAGCATTCACATGTTATTCACGTGACCTTCAAATGACTTTCCAAAGTCAATAAATCAATGGCATTATTTTATGTCCCTTCGAAACCATACAATTTTTATCTAAAACGTTTTTTTTAAAATGCTTAGTGTTTGAAAGAAAAGAAGTGTACGGGTGATCTGAGACACCCGGTATATGTGTATACGCATATGTGTGTATATGTACGGTTATGTATGGTGCTAATCTATCGAAGTTCAGCCGTCACTCCAGCATCTTCTTAAGATGGTTTTTCAATTATGGCTTCCTTACAGAGGAAGCTTAACTTGCACAAAATAAAATGACGTGAAAACAATGTGCAAATTTAGCCTCCTCTATGAGAATAATTGAAAAACCATCTTAATAAGCAAAATGAAATGGTGAGGAAGCAATGTACAATTTCCAATTTGCAAAATTTTTTTCGTGAAAAATTTATTTAAGATTTCTACGTAACGTGTTCATAATATTTCAAAATTCGAAAATTTACAATTGAAAGAAATTCACATTTTCCAATTCACACCAAATTCAATAATTCTTTAATGATATTTTATTCTTAATGTTCCAAATTAAAAATTTTTCAAAAAAATGAACCCTTTTACCGATTTTCGTCAAATTCAGTAGCAATTATCCTTTAATCATAATCTGTTAATATAAAAGAAATTATCACGATATATTAACATTTATGGAAATTATGCAATTACAATTTTCAAAAAATTCAAAATAAAAAATAATCCCTTTCACCGATTGTCTTCAGACTCAATACTAATCATCTTTTAATAATAATTAATATAAAAAAATTTATCATGATTTCTTAAAATTTATGGAAGTTAATGCAATCAATTTTCATAAAATTTAAAATTAAAAAACAAACCTTTTCACCAATTCTCCTCAAACTCAATACCAACCATCCTTTAACGGTAGCCTATTTATATAAACAAATTTAGCCCGATATCTTGAAATTTATGGAAGTCAGAGCAATCACCAACATTTTTGAAAAATTCAAATTGCATTAAAATTTAAAACACTACGAATTTTTATAAAAATGACAGTAAATAATAGCGTTGTATTGCTTTACTTGTATGTCAAGAGCGTTGTTAGTAAAATACTTTTTGAGATATTTAAATTAAAAAAAAAAATAAGTGGCACATACATACACATACATATGGACATTTTTTTAAAAATGTGATTTTTCGATATTTTGAACACATTGGCATAGAAATAAAAAAAAAAATTTTTTCATGAAAACATAGCTTCCTCTATGAAAAAGCAACAAGAAAGAAAAGTGTGCAAATTGGAAACTTGCACATTACTTCCTCATCATTCTATTTTAAAATCATAACGTAATAAAATTTGAACGTATGTGCAAAATAAGAAAGCAAAATAAAATTTAAATAAAATATGATCTATAAATTAAAAATAAATGAAAACACTTTTGTTTCTCTCTATTCTATCTATTATATCTATATTTTTATTATATGTATATTAAATGGTTATTTTTCAGAAAGAACCGGTGGAATTCGACATTTCGCACTTGCGAGGTGCTCCAGCGGAGGTCGAGACGTTGGTGCACAACATCAAGGAGGTGGCCCAACAATTTCTCTATCACTGGCGAACCTTCCCCATCGTTCTGCCACCGTCATTGTCCTCGTGCACGGAAGGCGAGGACACGTTGGCGCGAAAGAAGTACCATCTGAGGGACCTTTTTGTGGCGCCCAGCTTCGACGAGTTGGACGCCGTAGCTGTCGACAGCAAGGGCGAGCCCAGAAGACTGACCAACAAACAGCTGGAAAGCATCAGGGAACGAGGGTTAGTCTTATATAGATACCTTATAATTTTCTTTTATTCTTACTCCTTTAACGATTGTATTAGTTAGTCGTAATCTTGTATAATTACACTAGTTTACAAAATATATTTTTTTCATTATTTTAAATCAGGCAAGGTGTTTCTTATAGATGTTTGGATACTGAAAACGATGCCGCAAATCCAGTTTTCATCAGCATGTCAGATTTCCGAAATAATTGAGGTTTAATATGCAAAAAATGATTTTTTGCTATATGAGATTTTTTTGTGTGAAAAAGGAAAATCTATCATAAATATTGAATGTATTGTTTATTCCCTACACAGTTGAAAAATTTGTGTTAAATTTAACAAATGTTACATGTCTCAAATGGTTCACAGAAATTTTTGTATTAATTTATTTAACATAATATGGATATATGTTAAATGGAGACACGAATACTGTGTTAATATTTTAACATAAAATAAATGCAAAACTTCAAGTAATTTAAAATAAATTTGATGTTAAATTAAAAATTAACTAAAAAAATGTTAATTTTACATTCTATTTTCCCTACTTATAAAATAAAATTAACATTTTTTCTGTAAATTTTTTAACAAATAAATCTTGTTACTAATAAACCAGAACATATTTATTGTGCAAAATTAAAAATAGATGCACATTGTGTTATTTTTACATTTTTTTTTAGTTGTTTTAATAATTTAACATTTAAGTTTAGTTAACACAACAGCAATATATTAAATTAACATATGAATGTGTTAAATATTTAATACAAGAATTTTAACAGAGACCATTTTTAACAAGAGACTACAAATTTTTTTACTGTATATAAAATGCATTTTTTTATTTCGATATCTTACTTTTCAATCATGTTAGGAAAGATTTAAATGCAGAGTTTTGCTGAGATAGCAAATATTCCGCCTACAATGATGCAGTCATATAATTTATATTCATAATTTGTAGTTTAAAGGGCTCCTCGCCGACCATATTGGATTTATGACGTCAGAAGCGAAAAAAGACACGCAAAAATTCTTAAATACCCTTTCTAAATAAAAAGATAATATTTCGATGAAACAGCACTTCAGATAGTTTTAACAAACTTTTAAAAATAAATTCTCATTTAAAAATGACAGAATTTTCAGCGCATGCTTTCTCGCCTCTGACGTTACAATCTAACGTGGCTGTGCATTTTCGAAAAAAATTCTCCAGACAAAAGTTGTATGATCTAAAGGAGGACAAATAATGGTAAATATTTTTTTTCCAAAGAAACCTTCAGAAGTATCTCCATATAAATGTGAGAAGTAGTCTTCAGCTTTAATCTTTCATAACATAGCTAAAAAGTAAGATATTGGAATTTAAAAATGCATTGTAGAGGATAAACAATACAATTTATGATATTTTATCTTTTCAGATAATGTTAATTAAATTTACACAAAAAATCTTAAACATTCTCAAGTAGCAAACTGGCGTCATTAGGCGTCAAAATAACGCAAAAAAGCCAATTTTTACATATTAAATCTCAATTATTTTGGAAATTTGACGTTTCCAAAAATTTACAAGAAACACTTTGTGTGGTTTAAAATAATTTTTGGCTGTAAACTAGTGTATTACATTACATCGCTTAGCAACAGTAGATTTATAGACAGTAGAAAAAGATATCGCATAGTGTAATGGTAAATAAATAAATAAATATACATATATAAAATCCGTATCGGGACAAATCTGTTGATTTGACGACATTCAAAAACAAAATAAGCAAACGTGAATTTTATATTAATAGTACTCGTCTCGCTTGCGTTTTCAATGAATGAGATACGCAGAAGTTTCTTTCCCTGTGCCGGATAAATAAAGCGATCCTTGTGCTTCTTCTCTGCGTGTATGTGTATGTGTCTGATGATATGCTCTAACGATTTCTGTAAAGCTTACACAAGGATAAATATGGAAAGCCGAAGAAGCTGAATGCCACTCAATTGGAGAGCATTCGAAGATGCGGGTACGTGTTTTGCACATTAGCGACAATATTTAATACATGAAAAATATGTTTGAAAATAAGACCTAGAATTCGAAAAAAATCTAATTGCTCGTAATTCCAGAGATAAATTTGTTTTGATGAATTTAACATGCTCATTCTCTACAATTAGATTAGATAAATTATTAAATACTTTTTTTGCGTAATCGAAATAGAATTAAAAATCCAATCTTTCTTTAGTAAAATTTAATTTTCGTATCAATTAGATTTGTGTTATATCATATTTTCAGGGAGTAAGTTATTGATCAGAAAACTTTGCCTTGTTGCTCGAAACGGGTGTATATTAAGTAAAATTTATAAATGTACAGTTCTCAGGTCAACTACAATAAAGCTATATTAAAAAGTTTACTGATTATTTGGTAATATAATAAAAAATTACATATTAATTATTCAAGATACAATGAGAAATAAATATCATTAAAATATACAAAAAAATTTATCAATTTGACTCTGAAAAGTAAGTGACATTTCTCAAACAAGGTTTATTTGACTTACATTTTCTTCAGAAACACAGAAGAAAAGGTATTTGTATATAGTTTTGTATATTCACTTCGTTGTGGTGTAGAAAAAATATAATCTTTATTCTAATTAATCTTCTTCTAATGTAAACTTTTCGTATTTCAAATGTTGTAGTAATTATTCTGTAAGAGCTTTAACATTATTTCTAAATGGACATCAAGAAACATCATATTTTTGAGAGCAATGTTATTTTTCTGAGTCATTCCGATATCACAACAATATATATTGTGTGTGAGTGTTGTATGTGTATGAACAGGCCTATCTATAATAATTATAATTGATTACAAAGTAAATAATTCTTTGTAATGATTTATATAAAAGTATTTTAGAGATTGAATACATAATAATGCTATTATTACAAAACACCAAGCAGTAGAGTTAGATAAGAATAATATATAAATCATTTATTTATTACAAAAAATTATCTACTAAAATTTGTAATCATTATATCATAAAAGATTTTTATATATTATTAGATTCTAATTTAATTACTTTGTAATGTACAATATTTTTAAAAAAATATTATATATGTATATATAAAATAATGCAATGTAGAAAAGAGAAAGATACAGATAGATCGATAAATAATAAAATAGATAATTATCTATATATATAGATATTATAGATAATTGCTAAATAAATTAATATGTATAAGATTTAACGTTGTAGGATGCCGGGTTAACGTGATCAAATAATTGTACGCGTTTTGAAACGGTTTAATTTAGTTTATTCACTTTCTACAAGTTCGTCGCGTACCTAGACTTATGTTTCTCGGCGCTCGCTCTCTCGAGGACTGACTCGAGGGCTGCGCGAATTTCGGAGCTCGCGTAGGGCGGCAGCCGATCGGGGTCCTCGATTGGACCATCGGAAAATCAGGCGATGTACACACGCCAATTAGCGGCGAGTGTACACGTTGGTTTCACGTGTTTCCTTGGCGTAAACACTAAGGAATTTAACAAAAAACATTCTAGAAAATTCGATCGTCCTCGAGGATTCGATCCGAAGAACGAATCTTCAACATACCGCCCGCCTCGTATGCGAACGAATGCGAAATAAAGTTAAACGAAGCGGGAACGAATCGTCGAGGAAGATGATTACAAAACATACAGGTGAAGACGACTCGCGCTGAGAAAGTCGTCTCGAAGATTACATAACTCTTACAAGTTAGCGGCTTTATCCGTTGCGGACGCGTTAGAGTTATCACGTATTGGCAGTCGGCATAATTGCGCAATAGGTCGTTTCAATGTGGACCGTGCGGTGCGTATGGTCACAACTCGAACGAGTCCATCAGATCCAGGATGGATCTGCTGTACTCGGGCAAGCTCCCATTTGCTCGGAGGGAGCACGGGACTTTTAACTAATACTAATTCGCCTATTGCGAAGTTAGGAGACTGCTTGCACCACTTGTTTCGCTGTTGAAGCGAATGTAAATAATCCTGTGACCAGGCACGCCACACGGTTTCCTGCATGGCACGGACTAGTTGCCATCGCGAGAGCCTACGCGGGTCGATCGCGAGTACCGATTCCTCCGGAACGGCTACGAGGGGCCGTCCAATCAGAAAGTGACCCGGGGTGAGCGCCGACAAGTCACCCGGGTCGTCACTAAGCGGAGCGATTGGTCGCGAGTTAAGGCACGCTTCTATTTTACATAGAAGCGTCGCGAGTTCAGCCCTCGAAAGTGTGTGGGAACCAACAGCGCGCCTCAGATGCGTTTTAAGGCTCTTGACTCCGGCCTCCCAAAGGCCGCCGAAATGTGGAGCGGCGGAGGGAATGAAATGCCAGTTCACTCCGTCGCCTGCGAGCGCGTTTCGCAATTCAGCATCCTTCGATAAGGATTGAAAGTGTCGATGGAGTTCGTGGTTGGCTCCATGAAAATTTGTGCCGTTGTCGCTATACATGTGACGCGGCAGACCTCTTCGGCTAGCGAACCTCTGATAGGCTGCAAGAAAGCCGGGCGTGGAGTAATCTTCCACTAATTCGAGGTGAATCGCCCTTGTAGCAAGACAAACAAACAGAGCGATATATACCTTTCTGGCCTTTTGCCCTCTGCCGACGAATGAAATTACGTGGAGTGGGCCGGCGTAATCAACCCCACAATGAGTAAAAGGCGCCGAAGGGGTGACACGAGCGGCTGGAAGGTCGCCCATGAACTGAGAAGACAATTTAGCCGCTTGACGAGTGCAGACTACACATTTTCGAATGTGCGCCTTTACTGAGCTGCGGCCTCCAATGATCCAGTATCGCTGACGCAGCACACGGAGTACTAGCTGTGTTCCCCCGTGGAGCGTGGATTTATGAGCGCGATCAATTAAGAGATCGGATAAGTGATGTTTCGGAATTATTATAGGATGTTGCTCGTCATAGCTGAGCGCGGAATTCGTCAACCGCCCGCCAAGACGGAGTAAAGAGTCCTCTCCTAGAAAAGGACTCAATCTGCTCAACGAGCTCGAATGCGGTATGGTGCCGTTATTCTTTAGTGAGCGCGTTTCCCGTTCGAAGAATCTCTGTTGCAGATAGCGCAACCAGAAGAGTTCCGCCCTCCTAAACTCGTCGGCGTTCAGAAAGGGGGATTGTTGGGAGCGAGACGCGCTCTTTTCTTTTACACGATGAATAAAGCGATTCATATAGGCAGTCACGCGGACAAGCTTGGTCCAAGTGGAGAACCTATATGGGAGTTCCCAACCCTCGGCCTCTTGAACATGGAGCGTCACAGGCCGTCTTCTTTCCACCGACACCTGCTGATCGGTGACAGAGTCGAGCGGAGCTGAGACATTCAGAATCGGCCACGCAGTTGATGGTTTCTGAAGCCATCGTGGACCGTTCCACCATAGCGGGTGAGTCACGAGCTCGGAGGCGGTCAAGCCGCGCGAGGCACAGTCCGCCGGATTATCGCGAGACGGAACGTGATTCCAACAAACGGAATCCAGACCGGTATGCACCTCGGATACGCGGTTAGCCACGTAGGTGCTCCATTTTGATGGATGTTGACGGAGCCACGCGAGAGCGATGGTCGAATCCGTCCATCCGTATATTGGAATCGGAGGTAATTTCAATGATGTCAAGGTCCACTTGATTAGCCGGCTGAGGAGGACGATAGCGTTCAGTTCCAAGCGCGGGATGCTTACGGTTTTGATCGGCGCGACCTTTGTTTTAGCAGCGAGCAGAGTGATTTGAAACTTCGTTGGCGAAGGAAGCACTCGAATATAAACGACCGCCGCGTAAGCGCGGTTTGAAGCGTCGGCAAACCCGTGGATTTCGAACGCGAGGTTATTGGAATGTCGACCGGTCCAACGCGGTATTCGGACGCGGTTCAATGATTCTAAATCGTTGGTGTAGCTCTCCCAACGATCGCGCAACTCCTCTGGAAGAGGGGAGTCCCAATCACATTTGAGAAGCCATAATTCTTGTAGCAAGATTTTCGCGGTTACAACAACCGGAGCAGCCCATCCTAGTGGGTCGTATAATTTTGCCGTGAACGAGAGAACGGAACGTTTCGTGTGCGTAACCGATCTCAACGGAGTTATCACGAATTTGAACGCGTCCTCTTTAGCAAGCCATGAAAGCCCGAGAACCTTGAGATTATCTTCTTTTACGAGTAAATGATCGGTGACTTCCGGCTGATGAGCCGAAAGTCCTTGAAGAAGAGAGGAGGCATTAGAAGCCCACTTTCGTAGTTGAAAACCTCCCTTTCGCAGGATCTCAACTAGTTGGACACGAGCTTCTATCAATGAAGTCGTATCGTCCGCTCCAAAGAGTGCATCGTCCACGTAGAGGGACTCGCTGAGAATTGGAACGGCCGCGGGATAGTTGTCGCCTTCATCTAGAGAAAGCTGTTTCAGTACCCTCATTGCGAGGTACGGAGCGGGGGCGAGCCCGTACGTTACAGTGAGAAGGCGATAGTGTTCAATCGGCCCATCGGCCGACGATCGCCATAAGATTCTTTGAAAATCCGCGTCAGACGGATGCACGAGAATTTGGCGGAACATTTGAGCAATGTCCGCCGTGTAAACAAATTGCCATTGACGCCAGCGCAATAATATAGCGGAGAGGTCTTGCTGCAGTCTCTGACCGATCAGTAAGTGATCGTTAAGCGAAGTCTTATTGCTCGTTTTGCACGAAGCGTTGAAGACAACGCGCAATTTCGTAGTGCAACTCGAGTCGCGCAAAACGGGATGATGAGGAATATATACCGGCTCGAACTCGGAGCGGTCAGATAATTCCACCTTCCTCATGTGACCGAGCGAATTGTACTCTCGTAAGAACTCGTTGTACTGCGCGTGAAGTTCAGGACGAAGCCGTAGCTTTCCTTCCATTTTATTATAAAGCGAGGTTGCAATGTGCAAAGAATCACCGATTTTTATCGGGAAATCATGCCTGAAGGGCAATCGAACCGCATAGCGTCCCTGAGGGGTACGATAGTGGTTGGCGATGAAATGAGCCTCGCACCTCTCCTCCTCCTCCGTGAGGGGGACAGGCCGCGAGATC